TGTCTCACACGTGTTCGGAGACCTGGATCATGTGTCCCACACGTGTCCGGAGACCTGGTTCATGTGTCCCACACGTGTCAGGAGACCTGGTTCATGTGTCCCACACGTGTCCGGAAACCTGGTTCATGTGTCCCACACGTGTCCGGAGACCTGGTTCATGTGTCCCACACGTGTCCGGAGACCTGGTTCATGTGTCCCACACGTGTCCGCGGGCTTCTACTGGACACCCGTTATGCACAGGCTGTGAAACTGTGCACAGGAAACTTGTGCACAGTTTCCCGGTTGATGTGGGCTGTCCTAAGGTCTTCACAACCTCTTTTGCGCGCCCTTTGCTCCCGTAAGAGCTGCGCCCTAATACATCTTCCCAGAGAATCTTGGGAGACGAGCCGGAGAGATCCTGCCACTTCCGGCGCTTCTCTAGTCCTACCCTCAAGCTAACGCACTAAAGTGAAGACAAAAAATAAGATTGTTTGCCCCCTTGCAGAGACTGCGTGCACTGCCTGCAGCTTGTCTTAAAATTGGCGAGGTGTGGGAAGTGCTGGGAGTAAAGTGTTCTACACTACCTCCACGGTGTAATCAGTTCACGGTCGTCGTGGCGGCGGCGGCGGCGGCGGCCAAGTGTGTACGCCACACAGAACAGTCATTCAACCAGGTTGCAGTGTCTGATGGGATCATCTGTATATGAGAATCGTAATTTAAATGATCTTAAAAGAACCGTGTTGGGAACACGGAAGGAATACAAATGTTTGCTGTTGCGTGCACAGAGTGAGTGAGTGAGTGAGTGAGTGAGTGAGTGAGTGAGTGAGTGAGTGAGTGAGTGAGTGAGTGAGTGAGTGAGTGAGTGAGTGAGTGAGTGAGTGAGTGAGTGAGTGAGTGAGTGAGTGAGTGAGTGAGTGAGTGAGCGAGCGAGCGAGCGAGCATGCAAACGCGCATGCCAGTTGTGTGCGTGCATGTTTTTTTTGTTTTTGTTTTTTAGTAGGGATAATCCTGCGCGGGCCCTAAGCCTCTGGCTGGCCCACTAAGTGTTGCTTGTTTCTGTTTTACTTGGGCGGAGTGTGAGTATTTATGACTCATATGGTCGCTTCAGTTAAGATTTTGTCCCACGTGTTTAACAACTTCTTCTGCTCTGTTGAATCTAAGTTGAAGTCTTAATGGGTTTGTAACTGTGCACTGTGTTAGATAATGTTCCAGTGGTCTGTTGTGGTTGTAACTGTGCACTGTGTTAGATAATGTTCCAGTGGTCTGTTGTGGTTGTAACTGTGCACTGTGTTAGATAATGTTCCAGTGGTCTGTCGGGCATTTCTCCACAGTGTTGACATTTCCTCTCATCTTCCGGAACCTGTAAGCCTATTTCACATGCACATGGGTATCCAAGCCTGATGCGATGTAAGTGTACTTCTGTTGTTCTACTGCTCTTTCATCAAAATAAGTGGTTCATAATTGGTTGAATTCTTGTACCAACCCGCAGATCCTGATGTTGCAACTGCTGTGTTGTGGTCACTGTACATCTTTTGCATTGCTCTGTTTCTAATTACTTTCTTAATCTGTGATAGACTGTGTGGTATGTAAATGTCTACAGTTCCTCTCTTAGTTGCAAGTTTTGCAGCTGCGTTGCGTGTGGGTAGGTTGGTTGATACCTGGTTGATGGGGTTCTGGGAGTTGTTTTACTCCCCAAGCCCGGCCCGAGGCCAGGCTTGACTTGTGAGAGTTTGGTCCACTCTCTCTCTTGGTACTCTCTCTTTGGTTGGGTGTTGCCACAGCCTACACAGACGCAGGTGCGTGCGACCACACTCACCGCTCTCATTACCGGAGTCTTCGCGGTTAACCGGGCTCCAGAAATTACTCAATATGTGATTATTTTGTTGTTGTCTGACCTTTCAACTGGTTCATAGCGAGCGTGAATTCAGATTATTCAGACTATTCAGATTAAATCAGAAATAATAATAATCAGAAAGATTATATTCAGAATAATCAGATTATTCTGATTCAATTTTCATGTTGGCTTACGAGCTACCTGTCCCCCCCCTCCCTCCTCCCCCCTACAATGGCAAGTTATGCCAACCTGTCCTCACACTTAACGCCCCTCAGTACTGACGGTATCAACCCAAGTGTTCAAATTCCGACGCTTTGGTGAAATAAGAAGCACCGAGATATTTACGCTTCCTCAGACTAGCGAGCATCGTCCTCGCTACAGCAGGGAGGACGGTGTAGGAACGAACGTTTCACGTGAGGCAAAAGCACTTGAAATTTAACGTTCGTCACAGATAATTGATAGAAATCTTAAACGAGGTATATTAGTATATCTTCCTGACCCACAGCCCCTTCTCCTTGACCTCCATCCTTCTCCTTGACACCTCCACCCTTCTTCCTGACTCTACTGTGGGCCAAAACTTTAAAAAAATAAGAATTACGAAAGTCTGGACAATTTTGACCAACGCCCCCCCCCCCCTCGAGCAGGAACAGCACTATCATTACCCCTGGGAAGCGTCCTGACAGTGAAGGGTACTTCACGGCTGCCGACGACGACGGCGCGGAATAAGTGGCACTATTACGGGTGAGGGAGAGAAGTGGCACTATCAGGGGTTGGGGGAGAAAGTGATACTATTTAGGAAAGAAAACTAAGAGTGGGTTGGGGGAAAAAAAAAGTGGAATTTACCATATAATTCCCATAGAGGGCGTAGACTATATAATATTGGGTGGTAATGTGTGTGTGTGGCCTTGAGATTGGCCGGGGGTTAGTGGTGATGGCCCGGGGGGAGGGAAGACCTTGTCCAGCGGCGGCCCCCAGGCCGTGTTTACTGTAGAGATTCCCAGCACCCAAGGGCGTCTCACTCCAACTGGCGTCCCCCAGGGTGGTGTGGCGCGCCTTCACACTTCCCCTCCTCCTTACACACACACACACACACACACACACACACACACAAGCACAATTAGCAAGCACCGCAAGCACAATTAGGTGAGTACAATTAGGTGAGTACACACAGAAACTCTGGGGGGGGGGGGGGGGGAACACCTGGGAGGCGGCGGCGAGCGATGCCAGTATCGTTGTTTACATAATATTTATTGGTCGAATTTTCTTTTGAGAGTTATCGCGTTATCTTGCTTGATGCAAATGCTGCCTTGTGGTAGTGGACGGGGGAGGGGGGTTGTGGCTGGGTGGGGGGTGATACTTGCAGTTACACAAGAGCCTGGCGGCTCCCGTGACGCATGCGGCCTGGCGGCTCCCGTGACGCATGCGGCCTGGCGGCCCCCGTGACGCATGCGGCCTGGCGGCTCCCGTGACGCATGCGGCTCCCGTGACGCATGCGGCTCCCGTGACGCATGCGGCCTGGCGGCTCCCGTGACGCATGCGGCCTGGCGGCTCCCGTGACGCATGCGGCCTGGCGGCTCCCGTGACGCATGCGGCCTGGCGGCTCCCGTGACGCATGCGGCCTGGCGGCTCCCGTGACGCATGCGGCCTGGCGGCTCCCGTGACGCATGCGGCCTGGCGGCTCCCGTGACGCATGCGGCCTGGCGGCTCCCGTGACGGCCACCATCCCAGCCTATCATACTGGAACACAGCCACAAAGCACGAGCCAATTAGCACTATAGCGACCCGAGGCGTGATCAATAGCCACGGCAGTCTAATGGACCACACTGAGCCGCACCTTAATTATTTCCAAATTAATATTCGTTTTTTATTTCCTTCCCAAGCACCAGCTGGCTCTGGCCACACAGGGCCGGGGGCACCAGCTGGCTCTGGCCACACAGGGCCGGGGGCACCAGCTGGCTCTGGCCACACAGGGCCGGGGGCACCAGCTGGCTCTGGCCACACAGGGCCGGGGGCACCAGCTGGCTCTGGCCACACAGGGCCGGGGGCACCAGCTTGCTCGGGGCACACTGGGGCGGGGGCACCATCTGGCTCTGGCCACACAGGGCCGGGGGCACCAGCTGGCTCTTGCCACACAGGGCCGGGGGCACCAGCTGGCTCTGGCCCACACAGGGCCGGGGGCACCAGCTGGCTCTGGCCACACAGGGCCGGGGGCACCAGCTGGCTCTGGCCACACAGGGCCGGGGGCCACCAGCTGGCTCTGGCCACACAGGGCCGGGGGCACCAGCTGGCTCTGGCCCACACAGGGCCGGGGGCACCAGCTGGCTCTGGCCACACAGGGCCGGGGGCCACCAGCTGGCTCTGGCCACACAGGGCCGGGGGGCACCAGCTGGCTCTGGCCACACAGGGCCGGGGGCACCAGCTGGCTCTGGCCACACAGGGCCGGGGGCACCAGCTGGCTCTGGCCACACAGGGCCGGGGGACACCAGCTGTATTTTTTGTTTACTTGTTTACATTTGCAAGGCTTATTACGTATAATTTCTAAAAGTCTTAACTTCGCAAAAAAAAAAAAAGTAACTGCTCCGAGAATGGTGATAGGCGGGTCGGGGTCCAGCCCCCAGGCCCATGATATGGCAATTTACACTAACTGACACCCTCGCTAAATATCAGACTCCGTCCGCACTCTGATTCGTTTCGCATATTTGCTAAGTAACGATGAAGCGCTAGTTTCTCTGGCGTAGTTTATTGACGAAGACCGTTTAGTGAAAATGGTTACAGGGATGAGAGGGAAGGTGAAGGGCAGAGAAGCTGGTGGAAGAGAGCAAGAGAAGGGAAGGTAGTGGAAGAGAGAGTGAAGGTGCAGATGGTTAAAGTGATGAAGATAGTGCACAGTGAAGATGTGACCACTGTCATCTGAGGAGCGCAAAGCGCCCTCTCCAGTATCACATTGAACCAAAAATATTTAAATCACCTAGCGGGGGCAAGGGGGAGGGGGGGGGGCGAAAGGGGGAGCCCTGGCACTCACCTGGACTAGACTCGAGGCCAAATGACCTTACCTTATCGTTAAGCTGGCCCAGGATTTGCGAAATAAAATAATAAAGGTGTGTATAACACAGGAAAATGACTAGGCATGTATTCCGCGTTATGGCCGGCGCCAGCATGCACCTTCACTGGGGACCATGGCACTAACCTCATAAGTAGAGCGTCCCTATCTTCTTCTGGGAGGCGAGGAGTCTGGAGGTGGCGGCGAGCATGGCTGGCGTCTCGCGGGCGTGGCGGTACACGCCGGGCTCCAGCCGCAGCTTCCTCTCCGCCTCCAGCAGCGCCCGCGTCGTCCCGCTCAGTCCCAGGGAGTCCCCGGGGGCTCCTCGACCGTCCCACACCAGGTTCGTCAGGCTCTTGGGCCGCGTCAACTTCCGGCTCCGTTTTTCTGGCAATTTGGCCTTGATGGCTGCCGAGCCTCCGGAGTCTGCAGAGCCCTTCCCGCCAGAGGTGCTGGAGTCCAGCGTGTCGAAGTCCATGGCCAGGTTGGTGAGGGACTTGTAGCGCAGCTTGAAGAGTGGCGACGGTGACGACCCGCCTCCCACTGGGCCCACGCCGCCCCCGGGACCCACGCTGCCCACCTCCATCAGCGCTTCCTTCACCGGCGACGCTGACTTGTGTCGGAAGACCCGTGTCTTCTGCGCCCTCTGCTGCGACGCCTTCACGAACAGTTTGTTATTGTTTGGCTTATTCTCCTGCAGCGGTGTGACAGGTGACGACAGCTGCCCGGGGGACTGTTGCTGAGGCTGCTGCACTTGCTGTTGCTGCTGCTGCTGCGGCAGGCTCCCGCCTTTCTTTTCGTCTGATTTTCTTGTACGCTTCTCAACCCTGCGCTCTGCTGCGCGGTCCAAGGCGGCAGATATGAGCGCTGGATGGACAGAGGGCGACAGCTTCTCGTAAGGTCGCTGGTCACCTCGACGTGTTGGGATGGTCTCTATGGGCGGCGGCGTCGGTCTGACGTCGGCCCTCTCTGGCGACACGGGCGGGGGCGGGTGTTGTCTGCGGCTGGGGGCAGAGTGGTCCTCGCTGGCGTAGGGAGACTTGATGTGTTTCGGCAGCGGTGCGAAGCCTCGGACGTAGTCGTAGATCTGATCGATCTCGTCGTAGTCGTCAGGAGCGTTGTCGCCGCCGGCCGATTTGGTCTCGGGAGGACTTTTGGTGCGGTGGTGCGGTCTGTGATGGTTGTGGTGGTGGTGGTGCTTGTGGCGGTGCTTGTTCTGGTCTGGCCAGTTAGAAAAGCGGGGATCCCGCATGCCACCTTTGTTGCCCATTGACACGTCATAAACGTGTATCCTGTCTGCCACCTCCTGCAGGAGGGATGTAGCACGTTCACACAGCCTCAAAAATTCTTTCGTCTTCTCCACCTGGTCAGCGTTGCGGGCGTGCGCCAGCTTGAGCGGGGCTGCGGGAGGGAGCAGAATGAGCGGCGTGTCCTTCCCGAGAGGTAACGCCGCCAGCGGCTCCTCTGAGAAAGCAGCAAAAAGTCTGAGTTCCGGAAGGAACTGAGCTGCGGCCTTGGCCCCGACGGGCGGGCGGCCGTGCACCATGCGGACCATCAGCGGCAGCCGCTTGTTGAGCAGGTTACGGATGCTGTGCACGCCGCTGATGTTGTCTTCCTTGGCTATGGCAGAAAACTTTCCTCGGGAATCATAAGGAAGATAGACATTTTGTCCCGCTTGGTCGAAGCAACGGAGGAAACGGTGTTGATTTTTGCCGTTGTTCTTGGAGCCGATGACTTCACCCACCAAGACCAGCGTCTCGCCCGCCTGCACCGCCCGGGACTTGTCGGTGATGGTGTCGACATCGTCCGACCGCGAGACATACGCCTTCATGTTCTCCCGCACGAGGGCGGAGTCCGGGAAGCGCTTGGCCAGCTCGGCCACACTCTCCATGCAGCGCACTGCGCGTCCGTCCTCACTCAAGATCTCGAAGAAGCCGTCGTAAGTCTCTGGGATGATTAACTTCGGGCCGACGGGAACGACGCGTCGTCCTTCCTTGAACTTGACGCACTGGGCGGCGATGCGGAGTCCACGCCCCGCGGACAGCAGGAGGAGGGTGGAGGCCAGGCCTGGATTGGCCAAGGAAGGTACACCCACGCCCAGGTACTGACCTTTGATGACCTTCGCCAGTTGAGGCAGAGGGCCGCGGGCAGCCACCTCCCTCACGTAGGAGCCTTCATCTCCCCACTGCACCGCCCCGACCACTGCGCCCACGTCGCTCGAACTCATCTTCCTGGGCGGCGGTCACACCCCACCATCACACACGCCCACACGCCAGCCCCACGCCCCAACACTGGACCTCAACACGCCCACACCTATGAACTCTCACACGTTGGACCCCTAACGTCCAACTGTATCTCTCGTGTCAATATCCGGGTTTAAAGAAGCTTGTTAAGTATCACATCAGTGTTTTATATATATAGTGGCCACTGCAAGTCTAGTGAGGCGAGGCAACACCTTGCACTGGAGCGGGCACTATGTCACGTAACACACACGGCAGCCGACGTCGTCACCCTCATGTTGTCGACCAGCTGCGAGTCCACCTGAAACAAGAACGAAACAGGTTAGCTAGCAAAAATGAACAGGCAAGAATTGGTCCCACACTTACATCATGACGAACACACAATACCCAACACGAGTTCCTTTAAATATCCAGAGTCGCTTTACTGGCTATTAAAAAAAGTGCCGTATGTTGTTGTTGTTAAAGATTCGCTACCTGGAACAAAAAGTTCCAAGTAACACGGGCTATGGTGAGCCCGTAGATAGTTATAAGTGCCGTAGCTCTAATCAAGACAAGTTACAGCCCCGCTCCTGTGCCAGGTAAGTTCACTACGGGCTCGCCATAGCCCGTGCTACTTGCGCAACTTTTTGTTCCCAGTAGCTGAATCTTAAACAACAACAATCTAATCAGGAAGAAATGCTGTAATACTGTTTAAGTCTGCTCTAAGATCTGGGGAATACAACGGGTGGTGACCCACTGGCAACTTCGACCCACACCCTCAAGTCTTAACAACACTGTGTTACAGATCAAATACACTACAGAGGCGCAGAGGTCAGAACGGGAATCGTTATGACTCGCAACTATAGTTCACACTTTTCTTTCTTTGCATATATAATTAATTATTTAATTTACTCTCACTCACTCTCCCTCCCTCCACCCCCCCCCCACAAGTGTGGTATTACATGCTTGGTGTCAGAGAGAGACAGAGAAAGAGTGTGTGTGTGTGTGTGTGTGTGTGTGTGTGTGTGTGTGTGTGTGTGTGTGTGTATGGCACTGTGCTGTGTAGTCTGCGGGATTGTTTGTACACACACACACACACACACACACACACACACACACACACACACACGCTTAGTATGTAAATGTTCCTTTCTAAAACAACACAGCTCCACTTCTGTGTATCCTTATAATACACGTTTGTACTCTCAGTCGCTCACTAACTCGCACATGTTGCTGTATTTAATGTAGTCTTCCCCAAACGAAGCCCCTCGACGCCTTGGGTTTACCTGGCGGCGGCCCCACGAGTCTTGCTCAGCACACAGCACTTCACTTCTCGCTCAAGTGCGGCCCAGCGGCCAGATTCACGAAGCAATTACGCAAGTACTTACGAACCTGTACATCTTTCCTCAATCTTTGACGGCTTTGTTTACATTTATTAAACAGTTTACAAGAATGAAAACTTCCCAATCAACTGTTGTTATTGTTATAATCAGCCTCCTGGTGCTTCGGAGCTCATTAACTGTTTAATAACGGTAAACAAAGCAGCCAAAGATTGTGGAAAGATGTACACGTTCGTAAGTACTTGCGTAACTGCTTCGTGAATCTGGCCCCCAAGCTTCTAAATGCAAGGTTGCCCCCATGAAGCCTTGAAAGTAGGATTGTGAGCCAAAGCTATAAATATTAGGACAGAGAATTGAAATGTCAATACAGCTTCCATGTTCCTAAAACTTCAGAAATCAGCAGCCTTGATGAGGACTTCCATTAATCTATATATACAAGATAAAATATCCGAATTTAATTCCTGTCCCTACCTGTCCTCATCACAATCGACTTGAGAATGGTCCAGGACGGACCGAAACGTCGTCGTCTCTTCAATTTCTAGTGTGTGGTCTGGTCATCATAAAATATCCGTCCGTCCGTCTGAGTCTGTCTGTCAAAAGTTGGAGGTCAGATGCTTGGGTTAACCTTGCTCAACTATGCAGGAGAACTGGTCTGAGGTACGGGACGGACATAGGCTCATGCCGGCTAAGTCAAGTCAAATACTTTAAAAATATATTAGCGTTTAGAAACCCCCCTAATCTCCCCCGTGCAATTTTCATGGAGTCAAGTGAGAAATATTTAGTGTTTTTTTAATAGTTTTTTCAGTGTATATTTATATAAACAAAAAATTCTGAAGGAGAAAATAGGGAGGACGAAGTGGAGAACCAAGAAAGAGGGAGAAGGGGAGAGGGAAGGGGTGGGGGGGGAGAAAACACACACACACACACACACACACACACACACACACACACACACACACACACACACACACACACACACACACACACACACACACACACACACCAACCACAAGAGTGACGTCACTCCATACAAAATAAACCAAACACTTGCCAAATCAAAACAAAAAGGAAAAAAAGAAAATTCAATTAAGGTTACCTTTGTGTTGTGGAGTAACTTCCAGGAACCAGGTTTAAGGGTCGCCTGGACCTTCCTGGAACTAAGGTGAAGCATTACCTGGTATGAGCAGCTGGCTCGATTGACTTGGCCCAGGGAAGCAAACTCTAATCACATCACATGAATTTATTGTATGCAAGAATGTGTTGCTGGCCGGGGCTGTGTGGGAGGGAGGCATGAATGAGGGAGGCATGAGGGAGAGGGGTCACGAGGGAGAGGGGTCACGAGGGAGAGGGGTCACGAGGGAGAGGGGTCACGAGGGAGAGGGGTCACGAGGGAGAGGGGTCACGAGGGAGAGGGGTCACGAGGGAGAGGGGTCACGAGGGAGAGGGGTCACGAGGGAGAGGGGTCACGAGGGAGAGGGGTCACGAGGGAGAGGGGGAATGAGGGAGAGGGGTAGAGGATAGAGGCAAGTATTGACGTAACACACAACCTCAAATGAAATACAATGCTCCAAACGACCATATTCCCCAACATGCAGATGGTGTTACCCTGAGGACCACCATACCCTGCCCCCCCCCCCCCAATAGGAGGCACTCGAGCTCAATATGGGGCTCTAACCACGAGGTCAGGAGGGGTCAAGCACTCTCTTATTAACGATCGCTATTCCAATACCACCTCCACTTTAATGACTATGATTGGTGGAAAAAGATGACACGTCACCTGGAGCCAATCATCGCAACCACCTCAAACCATTAGTCAAGTGTTCGCTAGTCCATTGTTACACGGGACTCTCAACTGATTATATCGTAACCTTTCTCGAACAAGTGCTTCACTCACTTCCTAAATCAACAAATGTCCTCATCAACAATCCGGCCGCCAAACCTTTTATTAATGGATGAAACGGGTTTATACATGACTCAACGGATGATGTTCGAACACTTCTCGAACAAGTGCTTCGCTGACGATCTCTATTCGAATCCAGCCCGTCCTCCAAACAAAGATCCAAAAGTGATTCCATGCACCCGCCAAACCCCCTGTTTATGAATGAAAAGCTGTTTACACACGACTCACAATTGCTGACGTTCGAACATATCCGGAACAAGTGCTTCACTGACGAATTTTGTTCGAACCACAACGCTATAAATGCTTCACCCACGTACTACAAATACAAATAATCGCCAACAGAACCTAAACACCTAACCTAACCTAACCTAACCTAACCTAACCTAACCTATCCTATGCCTATATATGCACAATATGCTAATATATTATAATATTAATTTATACTTGAGAAAATTCCCGTTTTGAATGAACAGCATGTTAAAATTTATGAATGCGTCTGTGGGGTCGACCGCTGGGTGTAATGGACTTGAGTCGAGGACGGGTTGCTCTATATATCTCAAGATATCACATATAAATAATTGCCAACAGATCCAAGACACCTAACCTACCCAAGACATAAATATAAACAAAAAGTATGGTATATAATAATAATATTTAACTATAATTGAGGAAATAAAGCTTTTTGATAACGTCGTAGAAACAAATTGACGATTATTAAATGAACAAATCCACAAGGGGCCGTATCTTGAGGTTATCTTGAGATGATTTCGGGACTTTTTTTTTTTTTTTTAGTGTCCCCGCGGCCTGGTCCTCGACCAGGCCTCCACCCCCAGGAAGCAGCCTGTGACAGCTGACTAACACCCAGGTACCTATTTTACTGCTAGGTAACAGGGGCATAGAGTGAAAGAAACTCTGCCCATTGTTTCTCTCCGGCGTCTGGGATCGAACCCGGGACCACAGGATCACAAGTCCAGTGTGCTGTCCGCTCGGCCGACCGGCTCCCCTCGCCGTGACGAGGGTTCGAACCTACATCCGTGTGACGATTATTATTATATGGGAGAGTTCAGCAGGAGCAGCTCGGACAAGCACTGCCTGATGAGCCCCCTCTCAGTATACGGCTCGTCCAAGCCCGGGGCCGCTATCACTGAAGTGGTATACCATCATAAATATGGAAGAACTGTTAGGCTACGGTATACAATATAGCGAGGTATAACCACAATGATATACCCTGTGGTGCCGGGGAACGTCGGGCACCTACATCAGTTCATATACTGATATGAACAGGTAAATCAGAGGCGTTGGAACATACCTGAATTAGGTGTCGGAGTAAATACAAATATATACAGGACTAAAAGTTGGAAAAATAGTGACAGATGCATGCTGTATAGCTCTATATGGTCCCCCACTGAACGCTCTAGTGGACACCCGGAATAAGAGCTACATTAAGGGCCCTATAAGCCGAGGACAGTGTCCAGTCGATGCACAGTGAACTCGCCACCATCGTCCCTCATCATGTATATGGTTCACAGTTAAATTATACATGTATGATGATACATGGACAGCTTGGACGAGCCCGGAGAATAATACATGGCTGGATACACACACATAATTGATGATCTAATTAAAAACAAAAACAAAAATGACGTCATTGGTGTGGACAGGAGCTTGGACGAGCGTAGCCTCGTGCTTCTCAGATCATGCTCGTCCAACCTCCAGACGACCCCCAATGACACATTCGTCTCCTATGACATGACAATATTATTGCCGGTAATGAGAGCGTGGGGCCTCACAACACACACACACACACACACACACACACACACACACACACACACACACACACACACACACACACACACACACACACACACACACACACACACGCCAATTTGGCTTAAAACCTTCAAGCTACGTTAACTAAGTAAAAGTTGCTAAGAGTTTACACAAAGACGACACAGCCAATTAAACCCAGAACCAGCTGTGCTGGGGGAAATGTGAAGTGAAATTATCAGTAATTGAAGAGACTTCGACAGTTTACGTTGTACTAGTCTACCTGCGTGTAGACTCACTTGTGTGGTCTCA